ATTATTATTATTATTATTATTATTATTATTATTATTATTATTCTCTATTACTTGCCACTGAAATCTGCAATTTCGGATGGACTTTGTTTACATTGTATCTATTTGACCTGCGCAGTATTACGCAACGCTCTCCACGTCGCTGACGTCATGACGCCACCAGTGTCGGGCGGCATTTTGAAATAAACACGGACATTGTATGTTTTGTATGTTTAGAAAAAAAGTTTGGATTTACTGAACATGGTAAGTTGTAACCCCGTGAGTTTCACCTTATTGATTTTCGTGTTTCTGTTTAATTCTGTATTTTTAATATCTTATGTTTATGACAATGAACATCGGTCCGTGCTAACTGACGCCGCTCTTTAGTCAACTTTTCTCGATTTATAATGTAACGTGACTTTGCGCGGACACTGTTAGCCGTTTGCTGGCGGTTTTCTGTGTATTGAAGCGGGTATATAATTGTCATGTTTCGGCCTGTGTTGCTTCCTCCTGCAGGGTGAGGTCCGGGCAGAGAGAAGAGCTGCTGGACAGCTCTCAGAGGCCGCCGAATCGGAGCTGGTGCAGCAATGTGAGGAGCAATTTGCTCAACTGGAGAAGGTAAACCATCTTTCCGCTCCATGAAACTTTAGAGCAAACAAACAAATAATAAATATTGATGTCATGTTTGTCTGCAGCTCCAGAATGAAATCATACTGTGTGAACCAGACATCTGTGAGAATCACCAGGAACAGGTCAGATGGTTAAAGGTTTCCATCTTCTGCATTCATCCTTGTATTTCTATGAAAACGAGACATTTCTGTAAATTTTCGAGGTCATTTACTGCTTTGACACACCTCAGTCAAATAATTAGTATGTTAACTGGATGGTACAACAATGACTGCTTTGTATTTTGAAGGTGGGACACTTCCCTTTATTTATTTATTTTTTTTAGCCACACTGCACGCCATGCAAAGCTATTCCAGATTTCACTCAATAAATAGTGTATTAAATAAATTAGCATAGTTACACACTTACTCATTTTACTCACACAAACAAAAGCATAACTTCGCTCGCCGTTTTGCACATAATGTGTGCAAACTGAGGATTGTAGTCTTGCTTCTGTGCAGCAGGTCTCCCTTTAGCTTGTTTTAGAGGGAAAAACTGGAAGGAAGGTCACAAACTTCCAGTTCCCAGATGATGACTTTCCCCTTTCTGTACCAGAACTTGTTAATGCGAAGACTGTTTTTAGTTTGTCACCTTATTTTGCGCTTTGCCACTATATCTGTTTTTGTGATTGAATGATTTATTGTGGTGGTGCCCAAAGCTGGTCCTTGGGACTCACTGTCCTGCATATTTCAGATCAGTCTTAGGATGAACGTTTGTTGGACCAATCAGTTGTTCTGATAATTAATCGGACAAAATTTCTGCACATTTTTCTTATAACTTATAAAACCTTTTTATATACAATATTAGAAATGCATTAAAAGATGCAAATGTCAATTTCTTAAAAAAACAAAAAACATTTAATAGCCTAAAATGAAGCAACATAGCATTTCTGTACTGTAGGCTTGATCATCCTCAGTAGCAAAGCTTGCATCTAAATAAATACTTCTGCCATCAACAGGAGAAGAGCTCAGCACTTCCTGCTTGACTTAAAATCAGTACAGGGTAGAGATAGTGTGTTGATTGATTTTTGGATTACCCTATTACAGATTGGATAGCAAAAGGTAAACCAGGTGAAGATAAAACTGTCACTTGTTCTGATTAGCACATATTTACAATTTTTCAAATGCAAAATGTATATTTTTCTTTTGTACAATTGCGGCTCAGTTAATGCTCTGAATATGTTCTTTAAACAGCTTTGAGTCTGTAGTCTAATCGATTACTAAATCAGCTGACAGTGATTAATCTGATTAATCGTTTCGACTCCAATGCACCAAAGGGGTGGTATGATGGAAAAAAATATTTCAGCTGTGTTAAAATTGCAACTTTTAGAACCTTGCTTGTAACTTCACAATTGGTACAAGTTCATTCTTGCCTGGTTCTTCAGTTGATTTGTATGTTGTTGCTTTCAGGTTTGTTTATTTAACTTGACTTTTTTATTTTTATTTTGTTTTACTGTGTATTTTCACATGTAACAGTCAGTAAGCAGACTGGCGGCTACAGATGCTGAACTGAAGCTGTGGATGTCCATGCAGCCGAGCTGTAAGTCCTCACTTCTCCCACTGCAATGAAACCATTGCATCATTCTACTATTTACAGCCTGAATGTTAATATTAATATCACACACCACAGTCTCATTGCTATCCTACATCTTGTATTGCTGTTACATTTTTGTCGAGTTTGTCATATAAGGAAAATAAAACGTGCAACGATGTCAAATTTGACTGAGTTTAAATGTTTTTGTTGACTGATTTTTCTTTTTTTTTTTTTTTTCTTTTAACCTCCTCCGCAGCGCTTGCGGCTAACGCAGAAATTTTACTTCATGCAGGAAAAGATGAGGTGTGTCCATGTGTGAAACAAAAATTCCTTAGAAATCATAAAACATTCCCCTCCCTCCCACTTTTCTCAAAACATGTCCCACGTGTCGTCCTCTGCAGATGCTCAAGCTTTGCTCCGAACTGGAGATGGTCGTTTCTTGTTGTGAAGCCAAGAGAGACAAATTGAGAGAGACTAAAGAGCTGTGCGTGACCTTTCCATTACCCGGCAAAGCTTTCCTTCACTACTTTCTGGTTCATCAGAGCACATAAATGTTTCCCAGGACTCAATGGACGAGACCTTTCTGTGACTTCGCACTTTGTGTTTCGCCTCGTGCTTTACAGAGAGCAGAAATGGCTGGAGGAGAAGAAGCAGGTGCTATTAGCTGCCAATGATCATACCGAACGACTTCGGGTGGAAAAGGAGAAATATTCAGAGCACAAGTGAGTGCGATGGCAATGTGACGCCAAATGAAAAGAGACATTCGAGGTTCCCATGCGGCCTGGAAGGTATCCATACCTGATTTATGGATTTTCCAGGTCTGGATAGGTGTGGCGGGAAAAAAATATGTTTAATTCCAGGAGTATTCCCTATTTAATTGAATAAATTAAATGCAATTTAATTTATACAATTAATTTTTAATTGTATAAATTAAATAGGGATCCTTCCATCACTCCACTAATCTTTCTCTATGTGAAATTTTAGTTTAAAGTGCAAAATGTAAAGGAAAGCCTGGTGAAATTAAGTATTTATAGATTACCACAGTGACTCTCTGGTTATATTTATGTTCCTTCAGCATCCTTCTGGAGACAAAGGCCAAAATCCAGAAAATGAAGACTTATCAGGAACAGCTGATGGAGTCGCTGGGAGACATTCTGGAGAAACATGTCCCTCTCCCTCAGGACGAGTCTACTGCCAGCAAAAAGAAGAAGGTGGGTTAACCTGCCGCAGTGTGGATAATAAAGTGTTTGTTTTATATATTCCATTTTTTAAAATGTATTTTTTATTTTCAGAACATTCCCCTGAAGATAAGTGAGGACCTTGTTTCCCTCAGTAAAATTCTTGAGGTGGGTGTGCGATGTCGTTCTATTTTAACATTGACATGTTAAAATAGTCAATATTTCAATAGTTTTCTACTTTTTTTGTTAACAAAATTTGAGTTAATCGCAAACAAAATCAATATTGTGAATATTTAATTCACAATATTGATTTGTGAATCAATACTAATACTAAAATACTAATTTATTCCCTGTTGTTCTACTTTACAAGATAATGTAAGTTGTGGCTGTTTGCTGTAGGCGGTCATAAAAATAGCTCAGACAGTGAAAATAAGTAGGGGTGCACCGATTTATCGGCCGGCTAATTTCCTTAATTTTGGAAGATCGGTAATCGGCTGATTTTTACATGTGAAGCCGATCTTATCCGCCAATATTATCAACCTCGGCAAAAGTCTAAAAATCAACCACTGTGCTTTTCTTTTCTCCTGTGGGAGAGGTTTGACTGACAAACCGGCCGACCAGGTCATATCTGTACATTTACAGTTAACAATAGTCACCCTGTTGTTGCCAGTTCAGCAACTTTCTTGATATATTCAGCAACATTTCAGACAAAAAACTGGCATTGGACAAAATCGGAATCTGTAATTAGGCTTTTCAAAAGATCGGTAATCGGCGATCGGCCAGAAAACTGCAATCGGTGCACCCATAAAAATAAGTAATTACATCAACATGAGCTGCAACATGTAGCTTCCTTTCTGGTTTAGCTAAATCAGTTCTAGTGCTAAACTAGTGCGAGTGTTTGCTTAGCATCAGTTCTGATTTCACCGCTACAAACTATTACTGTGGCACTGATAAACAGCGCAAGCAGTCAAACTGTAGTCAGTGCCATATGTAAAACTCTTTGGTTAGTTGCACTTTTGTTCTACTTTTATTAAAGACAAAAACAATGAAAACACAAAGCTTCAATGTTATGAAAAGGTTTTCATTTTCTTTTTCAATCCCCTCCTATGTTACATTACTAGTAAAGCAATTTACAATGTGAAACAAAGGTTTATCAAGGTTTTATTTTCTCTCAGGTCTTTAGTCTTTGCTTTAGCCCTAAAAGTGTAAGAATGAGAATAAACATGTAGTTAAAATCACTCATTAAGCTGCATCCTGGAGGTTTTTGGTAACTGTGATGAAGCTCCTTGTTCAGTGCATGGCCTGTTTTTACTTGACATGTTTGTTCCAGAACAGTCTAAGAAAACCCAAATACCTCTCTATGTCGACAACACCTGCAGGTTCTTATGGACAAAGTCATGAACACGCCGCACGACCCTTATGTTACGATAGATCACACGTTCTGGCCACCGTATGTGGAGATGCTGCTTCGATATGGGATCGCAGTGAGACACCAGGAGAACAACTTCAAGATCCGCCTGGAGACCTTCTTCTAATTGACTGATGTTCAAATTTTTACTCTTTAATTTTCTCAAGCACAACACATCAGTCAGTGTCTTTCATTTGTGTGTATTTGAGCCCTACAGTTCTTTGACAACCGTCTGAAGAACCGAGACAAGAGAGTTACTTTTTGTAAATATGTATTAGTTATACAACTCATTTCTGTTTGTGTTAATTTAGTTCTTATTGCAAATATAAGATATTCTGCATTTGCATGGGCACCATGTGCTATTTTGATAAGTCTGAGATTTTAAAGTTCTTGAAGTGTTTGTGATCTTAGCAGATGTTTTATTGCTGTTCACCGAGCAATAAAATAAAACGGGATCTTCACTTCTTATTTTGGCATAAAAGCTAGAAAAGTTAAATTTAATTCAAACCATCAGTCACCTAATTCTAATAAACGTTTTGTCTGTACTTTATTAATATTTGTTTCTGAATGTTTATGCTTCTTTAATAAACACATTTTTATGTGCTTTGCTAGATTACTTCATTGATGTGTGTGTATATATAAATTTAAAAGACAGCACTGAAGGTAATTTCCAAGATGCATTTTTAGTCTAGCTTATACTTCCGAGGCAGAAAAAGCAGCAAATCAAATGTGTGCCTCAAATGATACTAAATATTGATGCTTTATACACAAATTTTATGCATTATAGTACTCGCTTGATTCAAAAACCAACTATAAAGGCTTTTACTCTTATCTTGGATTCTTTTTCACCTGTAAGCGTTATCAAGGTCAGTGAGTAATGGTAACTGCTTTACTTACAGGTGATTAATCTAAAACTGATTTGCTGATCATTTATTTTAAAACACTAAAGTTAAATTGATTTCCAAATAAAAATACTTAGTATGTGTTTTTATTGGTGCGTTCAGAAAATTCTCAATAGTAATTATAATTACTATCCAGAATTTTATTGTTTTACTAAACATAAATATAGTGGAGTATAAAATGTCAACCTAGTGTCAAGAATCAACGGAACAGACAGCAGCTAACTTGTACAAATTATTTACTGTAATAATTTAGAAACCATGTAAACGTTCTTAAAAATTTAAAGCGTAGTAATCAAAACGTATGCCACTCTAAGCACTGCGTCAGATGACGTCAGAACGCTCATCCAATCCGATGAGTCCGCCTCGTCAGCTTTAGGATTCCTGTGGGCGGAGAGGAGATTCCGGTTCCGGGTGTCTTCATTTCCCAGTCGGAGGTTTTTAGACCTCCGATTATGATATTTTACCATAAAACTTCTCTTCACTGACGACTGATTAAAATACCAATTGCTTCACTGAAACAAGCCCCGCTGAAGCAGTGAACATGACGACCCGCTCGGAGAGAGAGAAGGCCCAGAAACTTAACGAGCAGCACCAGGCCATCCTGTCCAAAATGCTGAGGGAGGAAGACAACAAGTACTGCGCCGACTGCGAAGCGAAAGGTGCGGCGTTCACTCCGCACAGTGTTTTATTGGTTTTGTGTAAAATGTGTAGTCCTTTAAATCTATCGGCAGAGAAATAACAGCACCGCCTTACCGTTGTGTTGCTCTTCTAAGCTAAACGGCTCAAACTGGTCAGCTGACATTTCTTACCCCTAAGCTAAACTAAGTTGCTAAGTAGCGAGCTAACTTCTGTAAATCTACCTAAGCTCCCCCGCTGCTTCCCTGCACCCGCCGCTTTAATGAACACCGACTCATCTTCCCTAGAAAACCCTGACTTGTTTTCTTGTTGGGACACATTTTTATTGCTTTCCGTTCTGGGACCTCAACATGATCGAACATGTTGGTGTCGTTCCTCTGGAAACGTCTCACGTTATCACTGTTTTCCGCCCTCAACAGGTCCAAGATGGGCATCCTGGAATCTGGGAGTTTTCATCTGCATCCGGTGTGCAGGCATCCACAGGAACCTGGGAGTACACATATCCAGAGTGAAATCAGTCAACCTGGACCAATGGACCTCAGAACAGATCCAGGTACTGTTTCCTGTCTTTGACTGAGGTTAGCAAAGCTTTCAAACGCATGGGAGGAGTATCATCTCAAAGAGCCTTTAAATGATACCAGGACATAAAATTCTGGGGAAATTTATGGTCAATTAATTTATATTGAAACATGTGATGAATTTAAGACATTGCCATAAAACATTAAAAGATTATCCTCAATATGACGTAGCTTTTTATAGTGGTTCCACATATTCATGTGTTGATTTCTAACATTCGTATTAATAATCAAAGAGGTTACATTAGTTTCAAGAGGATGTGATATTAGTTCTGTAAAAACTGGAATATTCAGACCTTGACTAAAAAGGCATTCAGCTTCCATTAATTTTCAAAAGAAGAACAACTAAATTCTTAACAATAAATTAAGTACTTTCTCTTTTTTTGTGGAATCTACACTTTGTATCAGCTAAGTAGGTTTATTTTTATGTATCCTTTTATTTGCTGGAGCAAAAACTTCAGAAACAAACTCACTTACAGTCTTTGCCCTGCTTCTAATTATCTTGTCTGTTAGCCGTCTATTGATGTTGCAGTGATGGAATGTTTAGCATTTAATTATTGTTTTCATTTTTGATGTGCAGACTCGAAACAATAAATAAATGCTGAACACCAAAACTTTGATTTTGAAATTTGATGTGTTTTTAACTGACCCAGATCTAGTTCACACACAATTGACATGATTTGCACAGTTTGTGATTTGTTATTAGAGGAATGTCGTCATTTTGACTAGATTGTATTTTTCCTATTTTATTTTTCAATTATTTTCTGTTTTCCAAATCCTAGAGCATCTTCAATCTTGACGCAAAGTGGTTGAATATTGCAACCTGCTCTAATGAATCTTATAGGAAAATAAGTTACTGCTTATAGCTTGGTATTTTCAGCTTACTGGTAAATAGAAATCATTATTTTCACCCCAGTTCAAAAATAAAATGGCTAAATAAAATAAGTAAGCTATCAGGAATATCAACCAGCAACCAATCTTTTTTAAATATAGCCACTATATATATATATATATATATATATATATATATATATATATATATATATATATAAAATCATGTTGTTTAGCCTCTAATTGAAAGCTCTAATTGTAGCTATGGGAATCTGACACGCCTGTCACAGAGATTTGTTGTTTGTTGTGTCATTTGAAATGAAAGTAGCAAAGAAAGCACTGAACTGAACAGCAGCTGAAATCTGATCCCAGCGAAGAATTCAAAAATGTTTCACTGTCAAAACTACTGGATGTGAATTCAGGATAATCTACAGACAGAAAAAAGCTGCATCTGCCCCTTTCAAATGTTATTATTATTATTAGTTTAAATATAGTTAAAACTAATGATCATAATCCTGAATTGTCGATTTGTAGTTTCAAACCAAGTTGTATCATCTTGCGTATTTAAGCTGTGCTTTACAGAAATACTTCTGGAGAAACGAAGAAGGCAGGGAAGCCTAATAACAATAACTATTTTCTCAGTTATTGT